CGACTGTTAAAGCTGATTTCAGCAAGCGTACGCTTTACCTCTCAAACTTCTTGGGCCCCATGCTCAGGAGTACACAAACAATGTCATGAAAAATTTGTGATGGGTTTTGAACGACCAGTATAAGCCTGGTTTCACCCCTAAAATTTTGTTCCACTCATTTCCACTTGTAGAAGCTTGTTCACCTCTTCAACTGTCTGAAGGTCCAGTGGCTATAATTTCAATTTAAAAACTAATTTATTTCAAGCAAAGAAAAAAATACTTTAAAAACATCTTCAAGTTGGTGAAAAAAGTCTTCTTTTTTAAATTATTTTTTCAGACTTGATTACATTGAATCTGTCCATATCAGGTTAAACTTAATGCTCTGCAACTCTACCTGCACAATATGGTGAGGTTTGACATTAAAAAAACCCAAAAGATTATCTCAAGACATCATCTGTCAGATTAAGAGAAAGGGCAAGCTACCTTGGGCAGATTTGGGAAACAAAAGAAAAAATAGGACCTGTGAATGAGAAAAAAGTGTGACAGGGAGCTGTGTGCCTGTCTTTTTAAACTCTCTGCTTTTGCAACAAGACATAATGCAATCTCTCCTTGAGACGGAGGGCTTGTTATAACCTGCACTGGCTGGGCCTTGAGCAGAAGAGACAGGCTGAGCGAAGGCTGTTTATCCCGCGGTGTCCTTGATATAAACATGTGAAAAATCTCTCCATTTTTTTTTCTTCTCACAGCTAAATCAATACAAAGACATTTGGCCTCTGAACAATGTTGTTTCACTAGCGCAAAAAGTTTTTCATCCTCCCTCCATTCAAAGCTGTGTCCTTCAGCCAGGCAGAACAGGGGACGCTGATGTCCTGCTCACTGCTATTTCATTAACGCTGTCATGCACTCAATGTCAACTTCTCCTCACACCAAAGAAAACCTCTCCCCGACGACCTCTGCGTGATGCTGGGACTGTATTTTGTTAGGTGGCCTCATCAGCACTGTCTGAATATTTGCACTTCAAGTCAGGAACCTGGGTTTTCTTACACAAATTCCCTCCTCTGCTTGGTTCCACTCTGGCTAAAATCCTTGATAATTGCTTGTGATTTTCCCAGAATCCTCTGCCTCCTTCCCTCTCTCAGAGGTAGTGGCCATCTCTAACCTGTGATCCCTCTTGGGAGCAATTATGATAAACCTCTAATTCATCTGCTTTACCACAAACTCTTATTTCCACTCTCTAATTCCCTGACCTCCAGCATTCTCCTTCTTTTAAACCTCCCCACCCCGCTACCCCTTCTCCTCCTGCTGCTCCCCATCCTCCTTCAGTGACAGAAGCAAGGAGAGCATTGAGTCATGACATCATAATTCACCAGCTCCTGTTTTCACGGTTAAATCAATATCAGTGTGTCCGAGTCAAGGTTGCACGCCGGCCTTCACAGCTCTGCTCTCCCGACTTTTTTTCCACCCTCATAGAAAATCATATAAATTTCCCCTAAAATAATTAAGCCTTCAGATCTGTCGCTGGCCTATATTTTTTTCCCAGCTCCCGTCTGATAAACAACTCTGCTGGAAAGTCAAGGTAATGCTGAGAATAGAACGAGGCTTTGATTCCATGTCTGTTTGTGGCGCTACCTTTTCCCTTCACTCTCAGAATTAATGAATGTGTCGGTTTAATTACCCATGACTATTAGCTGTTACTATTTGTCTTCAATACATTAATGCTATAAAGAAAACTGGATTACCTGTATAGCATACAGGGTGGGTACTCTTATCTACTATACTGCACAAAAATGCTATGGACAAATGTTTAAAATAAATCACATTAATAGAGAATGAGGGACAATTTGATGATGAAATGTGATTGACAGGCAGACATGGCAGTGATTGACAGCTGGACCATCACTGCTTCAGCTCTTATTCACACTCTTATTCAATGATGCAGCTATCAATTACAGACAGTATCCGCGCATTCATTCTTCTTTCTTTATATATTTCCCTAATCATCTTCAGGAAAAGGGTGAAAAATACACATACAGTAGTTTACAGTACATGAACCTACATAGAAACATACAGACAACCGTAGCCTGAAATGAAAGTAGTTCTGCCCATAAAGTATTTACTATCTATTTTGTGTTCTTTTCCTTTATGGCTGTAAGTGTGTGGTGTGCTTACCTGGCCTGCCTGCAGTCCAGATTGATCTCCCTTTTGAAATGTCTTGTGCGACATGGATGGACAGGGACAGCTGTCATCATTGACCATGGACTATTGCCTGTAAGATAAAATTGAAAAGTCAGAAGGAGCATTTTGCTAGTTATCATCAAGAATGTTATGATGTTTTGACTATCACAGGACTCGTCTTAGTTTAGTCTTTGTCATGATTCTTATCTTGATAAAAATGCAGTGATACATTACAGACTTTAGTTTAGAGAATGAAATAGTCTGTATTTGTATTCGATTCACCTCTGAAGGTAGTTTAAAACTAATTTCGTGTGTTTTTTGTCTCTGATTTATTTCTGCTGTCCAGACTTTAAAACCACACTGGATGACGTCCAGCAGTCTGAACAAGGCCAGGTAGGTGAGGACACCGGTAGGAGATGTAGTTTGAAGGTGTTTGTGTGAGTGTTAGGACAGCAGACAGTAGAGAGGCGGTGTGGAAGGAGGAGGTGCTTCAGACGGGAGAGGTGGTGGAGGAGGAGGAGGAGGGACATGCGCAGACACTCACAGCTGTAGGGCAGACGGGAGCCAATATAAACGTGCTGCCCTTCACTGGTGGGGCTATCAGAGGATAAGAAAACAGCGCTACCTGAGTCACTGACCTCCGGAGCTTCACAGGGAGAGAGAGACAGACAGACAGCGGAGCTGCGGCCTCTGTCAGCGGCCATGGCCACGCTGGAGAGCTGCCGCTGCCGGAACAACAGCATCCTCTACAGCATCTTAAAAAGTGATACCCTGGTGACTGGAGATGAGGATCATCACCACCATCACCCTCAACTACAACAACAACTAACGGTGCAACACTTGCTCCAAAAGTCCTCCTCTTCTCCTTCCTCCACCTCCTCCTCTACATGCCTAGCCCCAGCCTCCGTGCAGGAGCTCAGGCAGCAGCCCTGTTCATGCGGTTCCACTCGCCGCCGCGGCATCCTCCGCTCCCCGCAGGTCACCTGTAAAGCCGCGTCGGCGGTTCTGGTCAAGACGCTGCGCTTCATGAAGAACGTGCCCTGTTTTCGGGAGCTGCCCGAGGACGATCAGCTAGTGCTGATCCGGAGCGGATGGGCCCCGCTGCTGGTGCTGGGTCTGGCACAGGACCGGGTGGACTTTGAGACCACAGAGACCGTGGAGCCCAGCATGCTGCAGCGGATCCTCACCGGGCTGCCTGAGCGCCACAGTGAGCCCGTAGCCGGGCACGGCCATGGGGCGGTCGGGGTGTCCGTGGTGGAAATCGAGGCTATCAAAGCGTTCCTGAAGAAGTGCTGGAGTGTGGATATTAGTACCAAGGAGTACGCGTACTTGAAAGGAGCAGTGCTGTTTAACCCAGGTGGGTCAGTGTTTTTAACATGAGTGACAAAAAAGTTATTGGCTCAGGTGACTGACAGATGATGAACTACAGACTCAGGGAGGGTTTATCAGAGAAAGTGTTAACAACAAAGTAACAACAAATGATTTTGCTTTCTAAGTACATTTTTGATTTGGGCTGCACTCAATTTTAATGTGTTCTGATAAAAGTTCTAATGTCTGGTCTAAGTACAGGATGCATTTGTTGTATGGACCTTGAAGACAATTGATTGTATGAGTTACCAAATGTGTTAGTTAAAACTAATATTCTTTATTGCTTTTAGTCCCAAATATGTATCTGGTAAAACATCAACAGCCAGAACTCACAAAAAAAAAAAAAAAAAAGAGTCAGATAACCTTTTAAATATAACCACAGAATTTACACAATTTATTAAAATAAAGAAAATTTGTATTGGAAAATCTCACATAAATTGAACAATCAAAAATAGTCAAAAACTCAGTTAAGTAGTTTTGTACAAATGAATTAATATTGCAGTATTGCAATGATATATTAAAGCTTAAGCGATATTTCATTCCATCCATTTAACTTTTTGCTGAATGAAAACCTTGTTCAATGTCTCACCTCTCTAATTTATCTCCTGCATTTTCCTCCTTGTTCCCCTCCTCCTGCGGTTGAGTCAGATCTGGAGGGTCTCCGCTGTCTGCACTACATCCAGTCACTGCGTCGTGAGGCTCACCAGGCTCTGAAAGAACACATCCGGCTGATTCACCGCGAGGACACAACACGCTTCGCTAAGCTTCTCATAGCCCTGTCCATGCTGAGGTCCATCAGCCCTCTGGTGGTGGCCCAGCTCTTCTTCAGACCCGTCATTGGCACCGTCAACATAGAGGAGGTGCTCATGGAGATGTTCTACGGGAAGTAACACAGAAACAGTCCATGCAGAGGTGAATTCAGAGTCAGGTTCAGCTGCCAAGGGGACTCAGGAGACAAGTATCAGGTGTGAGGACACTAAGAAAAACTATAGAACAGTGGGTGGGACATTTTCAAAAACTGTGCAAATGACCCACACAGGAACGAGAATGTGTGTGTTTCTGAATGTGAGAGAATGAGAGCGTTGTTTTGAGTAAAAGAGAAAATTTACAAAGCAGCAACTGGAATTCATAATTTATTTGTTTTTATAAAAAAAACATTATTTTTCTATAATAAAAGTTAATCTGAACTGTTTTGTTTGACTTCACTTCTACTCTAACACTGACATCACAGTGTTGCAGGGGAATCCCAGAGATTTGTTAACATGTAAAAACACAACATCAAAGGTGTTCATGCATTAAGAAGAATGCCAAAAAAACATTTAAAATTGTAAATAGTAAATAATTACACAAAGAAAGTAGGGTATATCGTTTCCATATTTCCCAACAGCAACATTGGAATTTGGCCATGACCATGGTCCTGGTATCAGTTCTACAGTTTCATCTTATTTGAGATAATATGCCATAATATAAAATGTGATAAATACAGTAGAGAGTACTGACAAGTCTGACGCATATTACCTTGAAAAACAATCATCATCATCATCACCAGGTAAGCCCTATACAACAGGCACAAGCTTGGAGTTCTCTAAAATCAAACATCAAAATAAGGCGCGTCCACCAATCGTGGACGTTATGTCCCCGTGAAAACCTACAGTAAGTGTAGGGCAGTTTGAGAGCCTAGTCTTTGGCTTAATAAACATTATCTAGGATAACGTTAAGCTATTGTCTAACCTTTTCCCTATGCTACATCCTACTTGACTTTCAATACAATTCATTATTCTAAACTAAATTTATTTTGACTAAACATTTATTAGATTCTCCTGAACTTTATTTATCTTCTGACAACTACAGTTCATGTTCTATTTTTTGTTTATTTTTGGCTAGTTTCTTGGCCAGCCATTACTCATATGACCTACAGCTAGTTTAGCTTTGAGCTCAGTCTCAGCCATTGTCTTACTTTAACTAAATCTGGATTGTTCTCCAGCTAACTTGTACTGGTTTTAAATACGTTTGACATCCTAGTTAGCATTTACACTACATTTTGCCTTTTCAGATGAAACATCAATACCTAGTGAGACCACTAGAGTGCAACAGTGCACCACATTCGGTGAACGCACCGTGCACACTCTTTTCCCCCAGAGATGGTGCAGTGGAAGTGCCTCAGGTCATTTTCTACCTGTCCCAACTCTGGTCATTACTGTGCAGAATTTTGTGGATTTAGACCAAAGTGCTTCTGGGGTAAAACATCTTCAGGGGAGCTGTGGAGAAAAGAAAACTCAATCTAAACCCTGCTGAGGAAACTCATCTGGAGACTGTGCATGAAGGCAGCAGCAGCTATGTTATGGTTATGGCCTCATTCTGACGCATTATGGCTTCCATTAATTCAATAGAGACCCATTTGATTGAACAAGGTACAACATGAATGTTCACCTCGGTCACTGACCTACTGCTGTTACAATACATTCACTCCAGTCCAAATGTTATCATAAATACAAGTCCCTGAATATAATTCCAGCTGCTGGCAGCTACAATAGTTAGTCACTGTTCAAAAGCCATATGGTCTGGACCTGTCGGCACCCTGTGGCGGTATTTGGGTTTATGCTGACAGAATAAAATGACCAGAGAAGTACTACTGTTCATTTAGGAGTGCCCTGCTCACAGTGACAGAGGAACTGTACTGTAGCACGAAGGTCTGCAGTATTTCTAATATGTAGAAGTAAGAAAATTTAAAGATCCTAAAATACAAGCATCAGTTGCAGTAAACATTGAGGTGCAATAAACACTGTAAAATGTATCTTAGTAATGCACCTGAACATATATTAATCAGGCAAAAGAAACTTACTGTAAATAGTAAATAGAAAAAGAAATTGGTCCTATAAAAATCAACAGTTTCTACCTGTAGTCAGTTTTTTTGTTTCATTTCTGTTGCTAATGAGTCTCCAAACATCTTCCTGAAAAAAAGTTATTTAGCAGTGGAAAATAGTTATGCAAACTCACAAGATTCAGATCTGCTGGTGTGGCAGAAGAAACAAGGCAACAATTACTAGAATAATGTATAAATTAAAAGTATATAATTAAATGCATGAAGTGTACTATCTTCTTTTTTTAAAACTGGGTTAGACAGCTCAGTATATTGTGTCCTATCATACGTTACATCATAATATTTCACAGATCATTTATACAAGTATCTGCACAGTAACTTGTCACCACACATTACTCTGAAGAGTAATGGAGCACAAGTGGAATCGGTGAAGTACAGAGACACTTGCCTCAGTATTTGAGTACTTAACAACTGTGCTGCGGTTATATATAAAAAAAGAAAGAATGAAACAGAAAGAAAAGAGAGACAGAAATATACATCTTCTCTGCTGAGAGGACACTTAGAGCAGCATCCTTTGACATCAACACCTGGAGAGTGGTTATGAATGGCTTTACAATGGTATACCATAAGTAGACCGTGTGTGAGAGTCTGAGCTAAGTCCAGACGATGGAGAGTCAAAAAGATGCCATTGTTTGAAGAGAGCAGAAGCCCAACCACTCAAGTCAATGTGGGCCATCCACAAGATATACAGTATATGGACTTACTAGATACTGGCAGTGAGGGTTAGTTAAAATGCTGTATCCATGCTGGTTCCACATAGAGATGGGAGCAAGAAAGGCAAATAAATTTCAGGAAAAAAAACTTGATCCGACCTATCCCCTGACTGCTGTCCTGAGTCATTATCTAAATGCAGATCACTGCTGTACTCAGTGACACTGATCTGGGAGAGCTAGGAAAAAAACCTAAAATAAACTCCCCAGCTGCAGAGAGGCTGGTTTTAACAGACTCTTGAAGGGGACTTGATCTCCCACTTTTAACGATCAGTACTGAAAATTTACAAGCGGGCCAGTCTACGACATGCTGAGCTACAGAGGACAGAAGGACAGTTTTCTGCTGTAGAGTGAAGTTCAGGTAGAAGATGTTTTCATACAGTGGGAATGCACTTTGGCATGTTTACATTTCAGAAAGATTGGAATTTTCATTTATAAATATATGAAGGCAAGTAATTCTTACTATGCAAAAATATAGCATGTAGTTTACTTCGTCTCGCCTGCAGAGCGTGGTCTTAAAAGTTTTAATGTCAAGACCCATGAGTAGAGGGTGTTGGTAAAACATGAAGACAAGAGTCTGTCTGAAATGCATTGTATAACTTAGTGCCACTTTGGATCCTAGAAGCCAGTTATACACTTACAACACGAGAGCATAATTTTAATACTCAATAGTCTTTTAGTCTTCTTTCTTTCTTCCTTTTTATTCACTACTTTGGTGACGTTGATGTCATGGTGACAAACATCTTTGAAATATCTAAAATAGCCCCTGAAATGTGGCACTTGTGATGCTCCTGTAAAATAAATTGTCAATTTTAGGAGGTATGAGTGGGAAGTGTCCAACCAGGCTTCTACAGCACATTACACAAATCATTGCCAGATTAAACATGTTATTTTTAAAGTGATTGCCTTTTACGTGCTATGCAAAGTATTTAAAGTTTAGCCTTTCATGCAACAAAACAAACAAAAAATAAATAAATCGGTTCTTCAAATCTAATCTTCCAATAATTGTATTAGAAATTTGATTTTGGTATTATTTCTTTGTTGATTTAATCTATGTCTTAAACTTCTAAAAGTATTTTTATACATGTGTGACATTATATTTCCAAAAACAAATCCAAATAAACCCTTAATGCAAATTTCATATTAAAAAAAATACTTTTTTACTTAAGCACCCTCTGTCGGTTTGATTAAAACACTGCAGTGAAGTATTAAAGAAAAACCAAAAACACACTTAGGGTTAAACACAGTAGCACACATGCCACTGTGGACACTGCTCAGAAGAAGAAGACATTCTCATCATCATCATCTGCGCCCTCTACATGGTCCCTCTCACTGGGACCTATTTTCTCTCCAATTAAGTCCGTAATTGCTGTGGGTAATAAAGACTCTATTAATCCTGTGTCTGACAATAAAACTCCAGCTGTCTGCTCGGGGAATGCCAACATGCAACAGTCACCAGCTTCACTGCGGTGGACATGTTGTGTGTGCCTTTGCTGGGTTGTGCACGCGTGTGTCAGCCTCCAACTGTTGGCATCTGTTATTTAAAGAAACTGCCAAAATATATTCTAACAGTTGTGGTTCAATTTGCAGCTCCCTCTGTGCATCAAAGCACCAAACAAAAATGCCTGAGCTCCTTCTTCTTTTTGTCACTTTTACTTCGCTGTGTCTTTGACGCGCCAGTGCAGCCTTGTGTTGTGTTGTGTGTGTTTTTTTTTCCCTCTGTCCCAGTTTTACCTTCTCTCTGTTATCTCCTAGAATTGACAGAGAAAGACAATTATAAAATCTTCTTTCAGAATCCCAATCACCCACTTGTATGTGGTACATATCACCAGGAGATGGCAGTGTTTGGCAACAAACACCGAAAAATTATTGTGTCGTTTCAAAAAGAATGTCGGCCATTAAATGAAAATTTTAATCTGTCAAAACAACATAAAGGTTTGCAATTGAATCCTGCTAGTTTACTTGTAGAAACTCCCTACAAGTTTACAAGAAGGATTCATGCCCGGAGATTTGTGTTTCTATGGTGCTTGGGATAGAAACAGGGAAAATAAAAACAGTTTAACCCCACAGACTCCATGTGGGGGCTACACTGACACTCGTTTGGTAAAGGTAAAGAAAAGAGAAAAAAAACAAAAGAAGATAACAACAACACCATTGATGTCAACTGTCAAACAACATAAAGGTTAACCATAAAAAGTTGTGTTGCCTTTATCTAAACTCCTGAGGAGCTGTACTCCGTCCTACTGTCAGGTCACATAAACCTCACCTTTTATCTTCCATAAGATACAGTTCTAACCACCTTTTTATAGGTGCGTTTCTGTGTGTATATAAAAAGGAAACAGAGAGAATTACTGTATCTGTACATCTGTCTTACAGTGACAGCGTGAATGGGTTAAATTGCAGGTATAAACACTTAAGTGCAAACTTAAAACACTTTAAGTGGTTGTACAGAGAAGAAGTGATGCATCACTAGAAGTGATCTCAATTTAATAGGTGATATTATTTCAAGTCTTTAAGGCATTCTCAACGTAGTTGACAAAATGTATTGCTCTATTCTTGTCACAATTTGAGCTGTGGTGTATTTGATTTGATCACAGACATCAAAATATAATCATATATCAAACAGTCAGTCTAGATCACTTGACTTCAGTCAATAAGCAGCTTCAGTAAAAAACATCCACCAGAAGGAATTTTCCTAATGTCAAAACTTGACATCTGTTGAAGTATTTCAATCAAATGGAAGGATATTTGATAATACAATACATATTCTTTTTGAAATTTATCTTAGAGCCTTTAGACAACCTGTATACAACCTGTATACTCCAAGTACATGATGCTACACTTCTACTATTGCAGTATTGTGAATGTGAAAGAATAATGACGGTGTATAATGTGGTCATGAATTGCATTAGGATAGGTGGGGTGGCTTAAGGAGATTATAATGAGCTATGTTGGACAAAATAGTCTTATGTAGAAGTGAAAGGACTGCCCAGAGACTGAAGAGAAGTCTGCTAGGGAGTGAGGATTGTGTGTTTTTAAACAGTGACTCTAAGATGACCCACAGGTGGTAGAGTTAAAGAAGAGTAAAGACGAAAACAGTTAGAAGAAAGAGTTAAAAAAGAAAAAATCCAAATCATTGGTACAGCAGCTGCATCTGATCCCTACAGGCACCACCAATTCAAAAGACTATTAGTTCCATTGCTCAAATGCTGTAGAGCAGAGCTTCTTTAATGCTGAGTAGTGACCCCAAAACCAGGTTGCAGGAATGAATAATAAAATTAATACTTGTTTTGTCCAGATCTGCAGGAAGACACTCTCCGCTCAGCATGGCATTTCACTGTGCTGTGCTCTGTCCTTTAAATCCCCTGCTGACTGTGCCCCTCTTCAATACTGCAGATTCCTTCGCCAGTATAAACATGAATACAAAAACTCTGCACGTGTTTTATATATAAAAACACACATATATGCGTTTGTTATATATAATACATACGTAATTTTTTTGCAGAATTTTTTTTATCTTTTCTGTGCATCTTGACAGTGGCTTTTAGAATATTAATTCTTGATTAATTCTTAATTAAGAATCATTTTGTAAAATCAGTCAGATTCCAATACTTCCGGTGAGCCCACTTATCGTTTCTCTAATACGCAGTTGATACATATTTTCTACACAAACTGGGAGAACAGCCACCATCAGGAGGCAGTGTTGACCAAAATTCACCAACACTATGAAGAAAAATGTCGACTTATATTTTTAAATTTTTATGATGAATTCATAATCTTTTAAATAGTAATAATAATTATTATTATGATACAATACCATATAAAATCTAAGAAATGATTTTATATGGTATTGTATCATAATAATAATTATCATTATTATTATGTACAATCGAAGTTTTCACTATTTGAAAGTGCTACATGAACCACTAGAGTTTAGCAATGGCGTACCGTGCATTTCTCAACCACGCCTTTAATGGCGTCCTGTCTGAATTAATTCATAGCGTAATGACGTCATTACGTCAATAGAAACCATCCATTTTAGGCAGAAATGTAGTAGTCGTTATATCCTAGATAACTCATGTAGCCTTAACAACGCCATTACTAGAGCAACAAACCCACGAAGCACAATACAGACACTGCTGTGACATGAAAAAGTATCGATAACATAATACAATTACAATATAATTCAAAAGAGAAAATACATTTTACTCACCAAAACTTCTGATAAGTTGTTGCACACAAAACCCGCCCTCCTCTCTTTCCTAAGAAGAGTTCAATGACTCTGTTGTACAGATTATTTGTGCGTTCCAGTTCTAACATGTCCTTTGAACCTTCCTAATGCTCAAAAGTCAAGTCTGTCCTGTCGCAATAAGGCATAAGTTTTAATTCGCTTCAGGTTGATAATGTCCGCTGTACGGCGGACACGCAGAAACCTTCACTTTCGCGCGTACAAGTTGCCAGGGGCAGTTTGTTAAAAGAGAATTTGCTCTCTGACCATCCAATCATATCAAATTGCCAACGTAACTCTGATGCCAACCCAAAATCTGATTGGTCAAAAACAAACAATCTCATTGCCAATCATTTTAGGCTTCCAGCACATGCGCTACTGATTCTAAACACCTCATGGCAGATTCTTTCCACCTGGCAACACATGAGCCTGAAATATGATTGGATAAGTCTACGCAACAGGAAGTAGCACATCCAGAGAAAAAACAATAAAACTGACTGTACTTTAGTCAACCTTGAACAAAAACAGTGTTAAAACTCTGAATGATATTGTGAGTGGTTTGAAAGTGCAGAAAACCACAGCTCCCAAAGCCCCAACATTTGAGAATACCTGTTGTAGAGGTGATGAAACAGTCCTGAAATGATGGAATTTTTTCCCCAACATTAATAGAGAAAATAAGTGGAGGTGCAAAGTTGGACACAAAAGTAAATAACCCCAAATGGAAATCAATGTTTTTAATGTGCAGTGAGAAAGTAAGGGCAACTGATCATGATTGTGTTTCTATAAAGATAGACATTTCTTTTCCAGTGAAAATTGTGTTTATATATTTATATAAATATCTATGTTATATATAGAATACATATCTATTTGCTATGCATACTCCAAAAAAAAAAAAAGAAAGTCACACCTTCAAATATATTTAAAAAGTCTTTCAAAACACATGTTTTTTTCTTTCCTTAAACATGAACTATCCATGTCAACAAAAGTAATAATCAATATGGGAATAATATCATGTTAAAACAAAAACAAACATTGAAAATGCTTTTTTTTTTTTACTTTTGAATCTAGAGTAGAGGGCTTTTTTCAATGAGGGACTCATAAGCCACCTTAATCTCCAAACAAACCAGGAATCACGTTGCAAGTATACAAAAACCAGCATAACACTTATACACAAATCCCCGTTCAATGGTGGATGAAATGCAAATAAGTATGAGTCCTCAAGCAAACTCTTTTCATTTATAAAAATATAATTCTTTTTTTTTTAAAATAATCTACAGATTTCTTCTCAAGGTGAGGCATTTCACTATCACTCTAAAACAGCAGTGCTGCTTGTTTCAATAGAAAATACGAAGCTTTTGGACAGAGAGAGGGAGCGAGAAAGAGACGAAAGAGAGAGAGAGAAAGAGAGAGAGAAAGAGAGAGAGAAAAAGAGAGAGATCTGCTAGTCTTTCTGTCAGTCTGATTGGAGAGGACCAGCACTGCCCCCCCATGGCTCCATCAGCTCGCTCCCACAGGATGGTTCATTGTCGCCACCTCCTCCTCTTCCTCCTGCTCCTCCTCCTTTTTGCATATTCTATAATTTTTTTTAAAAAGAGTTTCGTTTTAAACTAGATACACCTCTTACAGATAAAACAAAAAAGAAGATGTTTAGCTCGTCCAAGATCCTGAAATGTCCAAAAGTGTTAAAAATGTTCTTTAGATCTACACAAAGATTGAAAAAAAACAACAAAACAAAAAACAAACAAACAAAAAAAAACCCCAGAGATATAACATAAAATCAACAGTGCTAGAGCATGGACATCATTAAAAGATGAAACAATAGAAAATGTACAACTGTGTTCAAACACCAGTTCAAAGAAGGTGGTACAAATGCAAAAGAAACACAATGACAACTGAAACCTACAGTTTCCCAACTCACTGAAGCTTCGATCAGGCAACAGAGTGAGACATGTGTTTTAGTGTTTTCACTGAAAACCTCTGTTTCATACATGGAACCAAACTAGCTTAACCATGAACCGATGACAGATTTTACTGTCAAAACTGGGATTAAAAGGTACAATACCAGGCTCTGGTGTTGGTTCAACGCTTTGTGCCAAGTGCTGCAAGGCAATTTAAAAAACCATGTTTCTCAGCACAAGGTTCCATATTATTGCGGTCCCTCATCATCTTCTGTTAATTATATCGTAAAAACATTTTCAGAGAGTCAGGAGGAATAATATTGTGTCAGGACTGAGAGCAGATTTTGCATAACAATCAGGCCTCATTGCCCTGGGGCTTGATGGTTATTGCAGTAGAAACCATAATGCTGAAGCTATAGGTATAGCCAAGTTGGCTCAAAATGAAGGAGAAACTTAACAGTTTGCTGCTGCATCACAAATCCACCCTGAGACTGAAAAAGGGAAGATCATTCATGAACCTTTTTTTAAGTATGGAATTGTATGTAAGATGAATTGGACCATTTAGACTGTTGTTAAGGAAGAAAATCCAGGGCTTTTCTAACAAACATCTGTTGCATCATGAATCCTTCAACAGTTCTGATCAACAGAGTCGGTCAGTGAAAACACCCAATGATCCTTTCATTCTGCCACCCTAATGACCACCGTACATGTGCATTACCAACTAGAGAGATTTCAGTTTGTTTTGCTTCTTTTTTTTAAAGTGCACCATCTCTTCTGAAAATGGGGTTTACACAAACAAGTTAAAGCAAAGTCCTACGTTAGATAAAGGCAGAAAAACATGGCCCAACGGAACAAATGAGAGAACGAAACAGGAAAACACTGATGCTACAAAGAAATTTGAAATATATGTACAAGACCCTGTTTTCCTTGTGTTTGTATGTATGCACATTTGTGAACATGTGTGTGTGTGTTTGTGTGTGTGGTGTATGCACATTTGTGAACATGTGTGAGTGTGTTTGTGTGTGTGTACACAAATTGCCATAGTGCGTTGGTTCTTGGAGTTCCTGTGAGTCCGTGTCTCACTCAGTAAGGAAACAGTGTTGTTATTATTATCTCCTGGAATTTCACATAGAAAACATCCCCGGTGATGCATTTGTGTGTCTTTGAAAAAAAAAGTAGCATTGTCCAAAAAAAATCCTTCTGTATCTCCATGAATAGTTCCCCACAGTTAGAACTAATGGATTCCCATCATATTTTTCATGAACTTCATGAACCGTGTTATTTTTAAATTTTTTTTTGAACGTTTCCAGATTGAACCTAGTCGTGTGTGACCCTGAATGATCCTCCTCCTTCAGTTCCACTCGGAGAATGTTCCTTATTTACCAGATGACGCTGGAGATGCTGGTTTCTCTCGGCAGCAGAGGGAGCATGGCGTTGTTAGCGTGCGCCTCCTCCAGGCTGTGCTCTCGGCTCTTCCCAGGAGGCCTCTGTCCGTTCAGCAGTGTTAGCGGGATGTTGCAGTAGGTGTGCTGGTTCCCCAGGGAGGACAGGGGTGGCAGGGTCCCTCCTGGAGGTAGGTCGTACTCGTAGCTGCGGTAGTAGTGTTTCTGCCTCATGGTGGTGTGGTAGGTGTTGTGGAAAGTAGAACGCAGCTCCGGGTGGGCAGTGGCCATGGCGGTGGTGGTGGCGGCCGCCATGGAGATGGCGGAGACGGTCTGCAGCTCTCCGAATGGGCCTTGCTCGCTGACGTCCAGTGCCGGCTCGTGGGTGAGCATGGGCACAGTGCGTCTGAAGGGCATCTCGTACTGCAGCTTCTTCCAGAACTTGGAGTTGAGCTTGTTGCTCTTAGGGCCGTGCCACTTGATGACAGTGAGGGTTTTGATGGTGTGTTTTAGAGCCTCCACCTCCTGGTAGTTCATGATGCCGCGCAGCTCGGCGCACTCGATCAGGATGACTTTGATCTCGCCAGACACCAGCATGTTGCGCAGCCGCGTCTCCAGCTCAAATATGCTCCATCCACGTCTCACTACGTAGTTGGGCGTCATGACTATAATGAGGCGTTTGCTCTGGTCCACACAGCGGGCCACGTCTTCTATGTAGGCTGCAGGAGTAAAAGAGTAAGGATGAGTTCTGTAGCCTTAGAGATATTAAAGTCAGTACATGTAGCTCAACACTGAACAAAGATGGATGAAGAGAAAGTATTAGACACAAAAACACGAGACAGTGACAAAGACATACTGTGCAGTGATTAGTTTTGTGTAGCTAGACAAGAAAACAAAACATTAAACATTTGGAACTTTTGGGCAACATTTAGCTAGTTCTGTTTCAGCTTACGTTTCAGCCTGACTTTTGGTCATTTTTTAAAAAACTTTTATATTACAATGAATTCATTTGAACTATCTTTGGCCTCCAGCTATTTTTTAAAATAATTTTAAATAATATTTTAGGCATTTATGGTGCATTTGGTGAATCTAAGACTAAGTTGTAGTTTCTATTTTTTAATTTATTTTTTTAAGCTTTACATATTTCTTAAACTACTGTACATTATTTCTGATGTAAGTATGGGAGGATGAACAGTTGCTCCTATTTTGACAGAATTATAGCTGGTCTTGTTTTATATATTTCAGACACTTCTGTCTTCTTTATAGTATAGTATAGTAGGTTAAATGTGAATATTAGTCTTTGGTCTCTGCATCATAAAATATTGTGTGCTTTAATATAACGTAGTCAATGCAGCAGGAGGAGTGTCGACCCAAAGCCAAAGCTAATGAGAGTAGTGAATGTTCAGTGTGTGGCCTGATTTTTCAACGGTCAATGGTCAAGAGCAGAGGAAGAAACTGAGAACAAGTACCTCCGAAGAGCCGCGTGTCATCCTGGTAATGTTCAGTGGAGAGACCTAAACATAAACACGTTCACGTTCAGATCAAATGTGGGACACGGACACAGACACAGACACAGACACAGACACAGACACAGACACAGACACAGACAGCAAAAAGACAGAGCAGCGTTCAATCACACCGTCCTAAAATTGTCTGCCTCTCGTTCCCTCATCAATTTATCTCACACATCAATAGTCACATTCCATGTTTCCTTGATTGGACATTAATCCACCAACAATTTTGCTCTGGCACCGATGTCGGCGACAATTTACTTTTTGATTAAAGCAGAGATGCAACGCAGTTAGCAGGGCTCGGCGCCTCTGCACAGTTTCCCCTCTGATGTTAAATTCTGTCTGGATCAACTAGGCTGTGTTTTATCAGCTCTACACCAAGACTACAGTATAAATATGGGGCATCAGTTCTGAGTAGAGAACAGTGTGTACCACGGGCACTGACTGACACTACTGAGCCAGAGTCTGCACACATCCGAATATGTTCAGACAGAATTTTTACACGTGTATTAAAGCAAGAAGAAGAAGCCGGTGAGGATAATACATTTGTTCGACGTATCGTCGCCGTATCAGCCGTGCATTCTCGTACTGATAACACACAGTCAGGGGAGAAGCTAGTGAGGAATACAGTGATCTTTTAATATAAAGTTAGAAAGAATGTGAGAAAAATGTCTTACTTGACAGTTTCAGGGCATATTTCTCAGTTTTCTCTTAATTTAGAGAATTGGTAGGTTTTGTTTTTGCTTCCAGAGTGTGACTATATAAGCAAAACACTTTGCCAACGAGCAGGAAAAGAAAACACAACACCAGACAGTGACTGTGTGTGACAAAGCTGACGTCAAACTCTACACAACAAACAGTTCAAACTAGGACAAAACTGAGTCAGTTTCTCTGTCTTAATGCTGTGAAAACACACAGAACGGCTGACACACAGATGTGTGCACACAGATGCTGCAGTCGGTGCTTACTGCCTGTTGGGATGAGGTCTCGGTCAGGGATGAAGAGTTTGTAGCCGTAATGTTTCTCCAGAACATCAGGGAGGATCTCCAGGGCAAAGCGTTCTTCCTCTCTGGTCTCCTGACTCCACTGGTCTGGGTCTACTTTGGTGTAGGAGAGGTATGCATCGTAGTCTTTGTTTTCTACAGAACAAGAGAGAGGCAAAGACAGGATCAGGTTCAAACAGTGACCAGAAATGGAAGTAGAAAAATGTCTGTTCTCATTAAACAAAAAATACAAATCAAATTAGTTTGCTTGACTGCACCCATTGTAAAATAGCTTTGCGCCCCCTACAGAGGCGCTGCTCCCCAAATTCACCCAATTATTAATTATTTAATTTAATTATTGTTATTTATTAGTTTTACAAAATCACTGAACAGTGATCCCAATTTGAGACCTGTGTATTAAAGGTTACTACAGTAGGTATCATAATTGGATTTTGAAACCTTTACAACTGAAATATTTTCCACCAGCTGCCACTAGGGGGTAATATGGTAAAAATGTGATGGCAGGTTATATATACATGTGTTAAATAAGTGTTCTGGTCATTTGAGCATGATTTAACATGCTGCCTTTAAAAGAAATCTTGTGGGTGCCTGTAGGGGGCGTCAACCCGGTTTAGAGATATAGCTTGAAAAAGGTTTGGGAACCACTGATTTAAACCACTCCATTGAAATAAACTGTTGGCAGATGAAACATAATGTTTGATTCTATTCAGGAGGAAATGATTTGAAGCCAGAAAACTTTTCACTTGAGGAGACTCAACCCCCTGTAACTGACTGCTTTATTCTGACATTTAAACAAATGTAGGATAAAACCTGTGCAATATTTTACACTTTACTGTATAATGTTTCCTTAAAGGTCTTAACTGCGCCAGACTGTGAAATCTGTCTGTAGGGATTTGTTCCAGTGTAGCCACAGGAGCAGGACCTAGAATTTGTCAAATGGTCTGAGTCATATGGTCTGACTCAGTTCCTCCCAAAGGTGTTGGGATCAGTGCTCTGTGCAGCCCAACACATTTCTTATCATTCTCAAATGGAGCAGAGTTACACTGTGTATCAGGAGCATCTAAAGGATTCCTGGGGCTACGAAATGTCAGAGGGTCACCTGGTTCAACTGTGATCCTTATAATATAATTAAGGTTAAAAATTAAAAAATAATTTATAAATAAAAGAAGCCTTGGATGAACTGCAAAGAGTCAAATAACAAAACAGAAGCTACAGCTGACCAAAACTTAGCCCAGAAAAACTGGAAAAAAGAGCTGAAACCAATGGGAGAAAAAAAGTTAATCTATAGATAATAATTATCAAAGATTGTAGCAGAGTTAGCAAAATTAACCCTAACCCTAATACAGAAGAAACTGAAACTAAACAAACAAAAACAGCGCAAAACAAGATCAGTATCTGCCAAAAGGTTCAAAAAGCTAACAGTGAATAATTGGTAATAATGTCCTTAAATAACTAAAAGGCATTACAGACCTTAGCGTTAGCTAAAAGTGGGTAAAATAGGTCACATTTTACCAGAAATAATAAGGCCAGAAAGAGGTGATAAAAATGTCAAGTAGGACAAGATGAACCTCACATAAAACAATCAACCTTTTTGGTAATTTTCCAAAAAACAAAAAAATGAAGGAGGCTGAAAGACTACGAGTTCATTTCTTTAAGGTTTTTTTTGCATAGAAAAAGGTAACTCTGAAATAGTTTTGAAACCAAACAAACGCAGCCTTGGATGATGTGAAAAGTTAAGTGTAAAAAAAACCACCAAAATACAAAAATCATCCAAAATATATTGACCTCCAATTTCAGGATGTTTATGCTTCCATTTGTCACCGAGAGACGGAGCAGGGAGCCCATCCAGTCCCCACATAGCAGAGGAGGGTGGGCATGATTCCATGACATATTGAGACTGATCTCTTTTTAAATGGGCAACAAATTGAAAATCTGTCTCCTCTCTTTCCAATGCAGCTTCAGCAGCAATGCGCACAAACACACTCACATGCACACACAAATCACGTGCACGTTGACTCCAACAGCAGAGAGAAATAGTGGAGGGGAGAGTAAATGAGGGGCCGGGATAGAACCAGAAACGACATCTGTGTCTAGCCAGGAGTGTGTTATGGATAGAAGGCTTTGACAGAATACACACCAACACACAGACTCTAGAGGGGGAAAAACTGTCTCAGACATGGAGAGGTATAAAGAGGAGAGGTGAAGACAGGGGGGGAGAGGAGTGATGGCTCGGTCTTTACCTCCATCCACGTCCTCGCTGCCAAAGTGTCTCCTATAGAAGAGCATCAGCTCGATCTTGTAGCATTTGTAGAGGGAGATGAGGAAGATGAGCAGCAGCAGGATCGCTCCAAGGCCTCCTGCAAGTTCCACTGTGTACATGAGCTCTGCTGAGGGGAAAACACACACACAAGATATATTTAAGAAATAAAGACACAATTGAGGGTCTATTGAGGTTTGTCTTTATGAATAGACAAAGAACAGGTTATTGATTCATTGTTTTTCCAGAGGTCGCTGTCATTATTTTTTATTTCTTGTTCCCCTCTTACACTCAGAAGAATGAGCCACTTTAAAGACACGTGTTTTTTGGCCTGAAGGTCGGCCGTCGCCGGTGTTTTCAGTGCTCGGCTGCATCAATTTTCACTTTGGAAGAGGCACAATGCTCATAATGAGTTTGGGAAAAGTGAGACGGTGCAGTCTAGAGAGCGACAGGGAGGAGGAAAAAAGAGGAGATCATGAGGAATTGGATTCATTTATTTGGCGTTACAGCGCTGGCCGCGGTCCATGGTTGGCCTGGCGACAGTATTTTGACATGGATAGAGGCATTTTGAAAAACAAGAGACTCCAGTTTATTCATCTCCCTCTGCTCCTGATTCCATCAAAACTCTCCCTCTGTGGTATTTACGCCTCTCCCTTCTCCTCTTCTGCCTCTCCGTTCATTTCTCCTCTCTATTATCTTTCCCTCCATCTACCCACAGACGCAGCAGAGGGAAAGGATGAGTTATGGTGTGTATTAAAGCATCGTTTACCTGGTCGCCTCATCTAGCACCGGTTCACCTTTAATCTTTGTCAAACTATGCGCTGGAGCGCTGTGCGGTTACCACGGCAACTGCGGCGTCGTTATTATAACATCACGGATGTTTTGTGTCCTATACAAACACGTGCTTCAAAGACTTTCATTTCTGCACTTTGACAACAGATCAGAGAATGGGTCTAAAATTGGGTTTGGAAACAATGGAAACCATGTGACGTAAGTGAGTTTTAAACCAAAGTCCTTTTGCAATACACCAGCCTCAAGGCTTCCATAGAACACACACAAGGACCCTAAGGCTTTAGTCTCAAGATTTGATATTATATGTCAACAAAAGAAAAGGTATAACCCCCCTAACCTGAGGCCAAACAAAAAGCATGGCTGTTTCTACCACCAATAGTCAAAGGACAGCTGACAATTAGCTTTGGATTAGCCATAAAGTAGCTAAGATTACAGAGATTATAAGAACATTTAACAACGACCTCTGGTTCAGAGCTTAAGATCTATTGCAGTTATGTTGCTGAGGTATGTTTTGGGATATTCAGGTAGTGTTAGCACGTACAAATGACATATCCTGACAAAAAACCCCAACAACCATATTAACAGACATACTTGCTGTGAGTTTGATGCTCATGTTACCATGATCACATTTGGGGGGAGAAAATGAAAAAAAGCCTTAATTTCCAATTATCTATTCATTAATTTATTTTACTCATATCTTCATATCCTCATTTCTTTAAATATATGAATCTTAAAAGGAAAACTAAAGCACAAAATACACTATAATACCAAAGATGACTGAACAAATCAGAGGAAGTCTCACTGTAAATACAATCTACACTACGGCCCATGATTTCTCTCGGTGTGTTTAATGTTAAAGCATTTCAAAAGTTATGAAAGACCTCCGTGCCTACTTTCTTTCTTCTTCAGGCTCAGTAACATCTGCTTTCATCTTTTTAATGCTAAGATCAGCAGCAGTTGCTGTTATTGTTGCTGCTATCTCAATGCTCAGGAGGGAGAGTGGGGGGGGGTGCTGTATTGATCCTCCCACACAAGTCCACACTCACAATAACATTTAGCGAAAAGTCAAACACACTCATTTAACTTTTAAAGGCACATATTGTGGATGTGCTGGGGCGTCAGCATTGGCATGTTTGGTCATAACCCCCCCCGCAACCCCCCCCAAACCAATACAGCATCTGAAAGGCCAGCGGTGCGGTTTACGCTGAGTAATGTGGATTTGATTGACCTTTAATATCTGTGGTATCTGCAGTCTGTCTTTTCTCAATACATAAAGTCTGCTTTAGTTCAGAAAGTTTTAAAGCTGCAGCAGGTGATCAATTTAGAGAAATATTCACAGGAAATAACGCAATGGATGGACAAGTCTGCTGCAGTTTAATGTATAATAATAATAATATAATAACACATTCTCCAGCTGCAGCAGCAGACGATTCATGCAGATATAAAAGACCTGAGCAGGTATGTCAGTGACATCGATTTCATTTACTCAGACTTTTGTTAAGTGGCTTAATTCAGTCTTCCCTTCAGGGTCTATTGGCAGCCATGTTATCCTGTCTGGATCTCAGACAGGGTCAGTGAAACACTGACGCTCTGCTTCAGGTCAGTGTTGGTAATGTATCAATAACTCATTTAGCCACACTTCAAAAAACCTGAACTATCACTTTAGCCTTTGACACAGTCATCGACTCACGCCGAGCGGCCGCTTTTTGAGTTTTGGGTTGGATTTTTGTAACATAAGCAAAGATTGATTAAGTTTGTACAAAAACGAAACCTTTTTAACACCGTGGAACTGGGGTTTGGAAATTTTTATATCCTGGTAGTTTTTGTTTGTTTGAATATCATTCATTAAATATAAGAATGAATGACCATCATTAATAATGACTAATCCAAAGCTACCTTGTGATTAATCTGATTAAAAACTTCAATCTAATTTGAACTAAACAAGAAGTTACAAATGTTGGTACACTAACATTAATATATCATTGTATCTTCTTATCTGTTTTGACTTGACAACTGTTTTAAAGCAGTGTTTATACATCTGAAATGTTACATCATTGATTAAAATCAAGTTACTGATGAATTTATTTGTTCCACTAATTATTATTCTTTTTAAAGTTTTGATTGAAAGACCACAAACAATCCTAGAACAACTGTATAACTCAAGTTGAAATAAAATGCAGCTTACTAAAATAACTGAGCGGACAGTCTTGAAAAAATATCTCCGGGGCCGACATTTCGTGATGTTAAAATATGGCAAAAAAAGGTTGGGAACCACTGTTGGAAAGGACGTTATAGAATGTCTGGTCAAATTATGGCATCCGTGCTTTCAAATGATTCTAACATTATTAATATTATTGGATTATTAAGCGCAGCAGCATCAGTGTACACACACAGTTACTCTGTTAGTTCAAGTTTTATGTCTTGATTCATGATTTAGGAGTCAGACTCCTCCAAAAGGTCACCAGATAAATGTTAAATAGGTAATTAAGGAACACATAATTAATCAAGAGATTAAAAAGGAGGGTGTGGTACACAAACCTTTTCTGTTCCTGAGAGATTTAACATTTAAACTTTGATAAAAGTGTTTTAAATTTATTTTGATGGAGCTGTTGAAGAGATTTAACTAAATATCTGGGTTCAAAATCAGGATCATAATGACCTCATCATGTGACAACTATGTCAACTACAATGTCTTCCTCAGTAGAGCTATCATGTACCTACATGGACTGTGGTTTAATTCCTTATAAAACTGAGGAAGTTCTTTTTAAGGTTTATATTTGCCCACGAGTTGAATATCTTCACCCAACACTCAAGTGTACTTCATGCAGTACTGGTGTGTATTTATACCATCCGTGGTATGTCAAAGAGCTCTTACCTCGTCTGAAGATCTGGATGGTGGCCTGAATACGCCCATTTCCATTTTCCACAAAACAGGAGTAATTCCCCAGGTCTTCTTCCTCCAGGGAGTCAATGGTCAGGGAAATGGCCACTTCCTGTTCACCAAGATGCTCCTTAATTACTCTGCAAAAGGTAGAAAAAAAACAAAAACACCCACTTACCAAACAATTGAACTGCGACGGCAAACAGCAGGGCTTTGATGACGCTTCATAAAGTCATTATCCTGAGTGTGTTATCAAGGAATATTGTGTAGAATTGAATATGACACAAAAATGGGCAGGAGCGGCAACATTCTTCTGTACTGCAGATGCACTGTGATGAAGCCCCCCCCCCTCCCTTTGTGTTACTGTAATTACTTCACGGTATGTTAATTTCTCTCTCTGCGAGGAAAACATATGAGAAATGAAAATCAATAAAGACTCTTCCTTGGCCTGCGTGTGTGTCTGCGTGTGTGTGTGCGAATCAGCATGTGTGTGTATGTGGAGAATCAAATAATAGCGATGAGAGGGAGATCTTTTTATAGCGGCTGCCATGGTAACGCAGAGAAAGTAATATTCCATAAAGTAAATGAGTGTCCCCCGCTGGGCTGCTTGAGTCTGATGGAGGAGGGAATGGGGAGATAATGCTCTCTCTAGTACCTCAGACACACTACTTAGCCCACTTTTACAGCAATCCTCAGCACAAACGACACTTTGGAGGAAACAAGGTGCAAATGAGAAGGCGATCGGCTCCATTTGTTTTTTGTGCAGATACGGCATACTGCAGTGACTGTACTTCAACTTTATGTATATGGTATATGGTAAAAAAAAAACAACCGCTGTTGACCAAAGTGCTTCACAGGCTTGGACAGCAAAGGATAGAAGCATTTCCTGCGCAAGAAGCACCGGTGAGAATGCTAAAAAGCAAATGTGGGTAAAAAAAGCCAACACCAGTGAAGAGGACGTAAAAAAGACAAAAATGATCTAAAAAAAAAAAGGCAAAAACATAAAGAAATGACAAGGCTGCAAAAAGAGCAAAAAAGTAAACAAATTTATTAAGACTGTAAACAGCAAAAAGGCCAAAAAAGATAAGAGAGACAAGTGTAAAATGGTTAATCACAAAAAGGCATAAAAGAAGGGGGAAATGATGAAAAGGCTAAAAGAGAGAAAAGACACAAAAGATATCAAAGAAAAGAGTAAAGAAGTTTTGCCAAAAAATTAAAATTAGTTTTCAGGTAGATACGGTTCGACTTTAGCCGACAGTCGTAGCTGGAAGACACTAGCAGTGACCTGAAACTATGTCCAACCTGTTTAAAGTTGGGAGGTCCTGCAAGAGGAGTTTGGGTCTTGGTTTCAAAAAAAGAACCTGACTCATGGATATTATACAAATAAACGTGGACATCATCTGCGTAAAGCGATAGGAGCCACGTTTCCCAGAGGAGCACTTGAAGAAGTAGCAGGTACAGAGTAAAGTGCTTCTGGACTGCATGAATGAAACAGAATATGCTTTGAATGGCAGGTGTGGAGTGGACGGGGGGGGGGAGGACGTCGGTGTGACAGAGGGTGTTCAAGTGTAGGGTCTCTCCACTGTCGCTCTTCCTGCTCGTCGTTAAGCCGATAACTGTGCATAAGGATGGCTTGTTGGTGTCAGTAATTGAAAGTGTATCAGCAGCTCCACAAAGAGGACGCGAGGCAGCGCTGCTGATGTTTGTAGTTTCAGCTGAGTTTGTTGTGCAGTGGTTTGAGGCCAGAGGCTGTGAGAGGAGGGAGTGATGAGGAAGGAAGGAGGAGGAGGAGGCATGGGAATAATTCATGTCTCTCCAGGGAGTGGTGGAGGGTACTTTGAAACCTTCCATTTTGTATTATCACACTGCACAAGCGGGCGCTGCACACGCCGCCTTAATGACCACACAGCCTGAGCCTAAAAGAGAAACTGATGGGGGAGCTAAAGATAGAGCGGAGGGATCACAAGTTTAGGGCAAACAAACGAGCACCTGGATGGAAAATGGACCATCAGTTCCCACCAGAAGCTGAACAACTGATGTCTGTACTCTCAGGCGGAGGTGCTAACCGACGGGACTTTGTTTCATGGGTGTCATTTCGTTTTAATAGTAAATTAAAGTCGTTGCCAAGAGGTAGAAACATCCTGAGGTAAATCTACGATCCTAAATACGGTTATGTAACATTTCTGTCACGATTCACATTTGAGCAAATATCTGACAGAACCATTTGGGCAGACCATTGGTCTGGAAGCTTCTTTGGACCAGAGCCACTGAATGTCAGACTGGTAAAACTCCACGTAAATCTTTATGTAACTCTGTAAAGCTCCAGGCTTTTATTTTGGTTGATCGGCTTTATTGATACAGAGTCAGCCGAAAGAATTAGACAGTGGGCTGCTCCAGGAGCTGTTCCTGTTCAATTTTCTATTTCTCTCTCGTTAGCAGAAATCCTCAGAGTTGGCTCGTTTTGTGATCGATTTTCACAACTTGGTCCTTTCTCGACGTGCACCTGCAAAGCACCACTGAAGTGGGTCAGCACCACATCGATCGACTTCTCTGTTATGCTGAGACGCATTTGTTTTGCTAATTTATTAATCCCTGCATGCTAAGCTAATGTCCAGCCATCCATGCTGCGATCACAACCGTGTCTCGGCCCCTGCTGGCACAAATGAGAATTTATTGCCTAGTCGGTTGATATAGAAGCGATCTGCACCCCCATATCGGGGGCTTCAAGTTGGATAAATAAAGCTAAGCACGTTTTGTGTGCTTGTGCTTGTTGTTTCAAGTTTTTCAAACCCAGAAGAAACTCCAAAAACACTGTGGCAAAAATAACTTGAACTTTTCCGAACCAACGTCCTGAAAGGCTAGTTGTAAAAATGATAATAGAAGCATCCTCAGAAGGGCGGGCCAGTTGTAGTTTGATACAGTCCACATCTGCATCACAAAGTCTTCTCTGAGTCGGTGTCATCATTGGCCAAAAGGCCGAGACTGAGCACTGAGGAGCAGTTTGTTATCACACAGAAATGACTCACACAAATATAACACCTGAAATATCTGTCATTTTTTACTGCGTCCTGAATGTTCAGTTTCTCTTCATCCACTTGCCAGAAATGTAAAGGTGTCAAAAAATTCCCTGTATTTGTAAGAAGTTCATGTATTTTGGGGGGAATTATTTGATTTGTTGATTTTTCTGTCATTTCCATCTCTAGTTTCAGACTGTCTATAAGGGTCTAAAACTAAGGTTCTTGTTGCAAATAAACATGGCCAGTGGTGGTGCAGCAGCAGCAGCAGCAGCTACACAGAGCATATGATCAAATACAGTATTGACCTGCCGCATGAAATATTGTTATGAATTATTGAAAAGATAACCCCTTTGGCCTGAGAGCAGGTGGGAGGAGGGGGTGAGTGGGCTCCTGGTGTCAGGGCATAACGTATGACCAGAGCCAGAGAGGGAGGATGGTGAGCAGCAGCAGCAGCAGCAGCAGCGGCAGCAGCAGCAGCAGCGGCAGCAGGGTTTTGAAATTAAATTTGTTTCTCTTGCCCGTTCATATCAGCGCACAGGCAAACTGACTTCCACCAATGCGTCTTCTTTACTTTCCTCCTCGGTGACTTGCCATATTTGTTTCTCTCTCCACTCCTTCCCTGTCTGCTCCCACTCTCTTTCCTCCCATCTCTCTCTCTCTCTCTCTGCTCCCTCCCACCCTCTCCCCCTGCCTCTCCCTTCTCCCCCTCCCTCTGTGGACCATCTGCATGCTGCTATAGGTGAGTGCAGCAAAGCAGATAGCGATAGTGGCGGCGGTGTGAAAAATGGCGGTTGTTAACCATCTGACAGGGCTGTCTCCCCAGAGCAGCAGCCTCTCCAAACAGCCCTAATGGGAAACATGCACACGGGCCAGGGAATGGACTTGTTTTAAATGTGTTACACTGCTCACAGGGGGGAGACATGGAGATGGGCTTGTTTTAAATGTGTTGGAGGCTGGGGGGAGTGAAGCTCAGCCAGCAGTCTTTAGTTCAACTGGAGAATCAGACAGTAGTAGGAGATGACACTTGGTGCATTTGTCTGGGGCAGATACAGATGAGTGTGGGCAGGAAGAAGGGCATGTACGAGTGTTTTTTTCTCTCCACTGAGTTTCTTTTTTTCTTTCTTTTTTTTGGCAAATATAAGTAAAATAAAAGTAAAACAAGTTTGTTTCTCGCAGAAGTAGAACTCAGGTCATCTCAGGCCATTTGCACATCTTTCTACTCTTTTGGCTAACGGGCTAGTTAACAAAGGTTTAATTTATATTTAAAAATACACATATATTTTACCTTTTGTGTAATTTTTAAAAATAAGATTTTAACATCAATTTAATAAAAAAACATCTTTCATTTCTAGGATCCTTATTTGCTTCATTGTTTTATATTAATTGCTTTTACTCTAAGCCTTGATTAACATTTACTGTTGATTAATGTTAGTATGGTTTTGTTTGCAAATATTAAGCTGTTATTGCTCATTTATAGCAAGTGTGCTAATTGGTTAACTAATACTTTAATAATCTTTTTACTTTTTTTATGAATTTCTAAAATCAAACATTTGATTATTTTTGAAAACTTTCACATTTAAACTCATTTTTTATCCTTTGTGTTTCCATTAGTGGAAGTGTTAGCCTTTCTTGACAACATACATATTGTGGCCTGTTTTGTTAGCTGTTTAGTTTTATTAGTTTTTAGTTCAAAGCTCCACTAAGGTTTTTTTTTTTAAATCACTCTAGCTAGTACACTATGAAGTACTGTACATTTACAAATCATTGCAGGTTCCTTACTGTGGTAATGAAGAGGATGTTATAATTAAAATATATTTTAATACACCTGTAAAAGGTTCATTCTTCTGCACTTGGTCCCTTTCACCACAAGAGGGCCAACACTTGGCCCTAATTTTGAGAAAAGCTTTCTGCATTTTCTTTAGAAGTTTGTTGTTGTTGTTGTTTTTTGATGTGTAAAGACTTTCTTTTGGACACAGCTGCTGAATCCAATGATGCCTGGGACAAATAATCAATATACAGAGCAGTGCAGCACAACAAGGCAGCACCAAATCTCTGCCATTGAAGTAATGATGTGCACAAATGTCAGCTGTTACACTTTCTCAGAGGCCTGCCGTTTACCAACCAAAGTGTCCGTTAACCATTTAAATGACGCCGATACACAGTGAACTACATGGTCATGTTTGTCTGCCAAAATAATTCTCCTGCAGTTTAACAAGAGTGAGTCAATTTGCCGTCATTCTCCTCCTCAGTAACAGGGATATTGTTATGTATAAAAGATTATCCACTTTGCACCTGCTTTCCCCAGGACAAAAATGTAATTTAAACAGAGGAATGAAAATGTCAAAACAAGTGAATAATGATCTAAAATGAGCCTCGTGTCTCCGCACGATTGAAGGCAGTGAATAAATCTATGGCAAATGCTTGGCTTAGTGTTCGCAATTTGGAGTTAATGGACTAAGACATGCAAAATAAAACGTTGCTTTTTGTCCTCTAATATTTTCCAGTGAATTTACCCACAGGCTGCTATTATTTCCTCATTAACACCAGGACCAATTAAATGATTTATCTTTTTTCCCCGCAGCTCTTACTTCATTTCGCTCTCCTGGACTCGCTCTTCATCCAGGTCTTCGATGAACTTCTCCCCCTTCATCCAGTAGATGAGAGGGCTGACGTCACCGTTGTAGCCAAAAAAGGCTCTACAGGTGAGGTTCAACGGAGTTCCTGCGAAGACAGAGGAAAAGACACATTAATTTACAACAGACATCCAGTTGAACTGATGTTTTTATTTCTCCAAAATGACTAAACATTTCACCTCAGCATAAATGAGACCTGATGGTGCGATTGACTATCTCTGATATGTTCACACCAGCAGAACGAGATAAAACAAACTGATCTCAAAGCACGTAATGAACACATGATGGCACTAAAGAGCTTCATAACCTCCCTTCCCTCAGAGACTATTAAAATAACACAGAAGGCAAGCGGAAGTGAGAGGAGGCTGATGATGGTGATATTATTTCATTCTGAGTTGCTGCTCAGTGTGAAGGAGGGTCAGGAGTCAACATCTGCGGTTTACTGAGAGTCAATATGTGGAAGATGAAGCCATTGTCATCAAAGGGCAAATTATGGCTTTTTCCCCCCTTCACAGTGAACTGATGGCTTATCTTCTGGCTTCAGCAAAGAGAGTAAGTATTCAGAAGGAAGAAGAATATGGTTATATTCCAGCAGCAGTTGGACTCAAATATATTCTTTCACATCATTCAAGTTTGTGTGTTTCTGACGGTGATTTCAGAGTGCTGAGCTGGAGGCAGAAGAGTGACAAATGTAATGTGATCTAGTCTAAGTCTGGTACAGGGACACTGTTTCAGGGACATCTTTAGGCTAATCTTTAGGCTAATCTTTAGCTCTCTTGACTCCATATATTGTTCAAGTTTTAAGCAACAGTTTTCAGTCAAATACAAGCTTTTTGTGCCTTGTATATGCGATAACCTTAGGTGATTTTGCATTCTGAAGCTAATTCGTAGCTTATCTTTTATCTTGTATCGACTATTCTTTGCCTTACCTGAAGTTTAACTTTAAAATATATCTTAGTTAAAAAAAAAGTATTTTTGTCTAATGGACTTTTTCATGATTCAATGATGATGATAATGATTATATAAAAGTATTTCGCATCTGGCACAATTAGCAAATGATTGCCTTCAAACCATTCAACGACCAATTACCTTTAATTTATATATATTTCAAATAAAAAATGTACTAATTTAAAAAAATGCTTCAAGTGCAGTCCATTTTATGCAACTTCATTATCTCTTACGTTTCACTGGAGGAGCAGAGTGCAAACTAAACAGGCTTTGACATCACTGTCATAAAGAATGAGCACATGTTTATTCTGCTTTGCTCTTAAGTGGAAACTGTCAAAGGCGTGCCATACGGCTGCTGCCTGTCGGCGGCGTGTAAGCAACACACGTTGCACGATCGTCATGCGTAACATACGGTAAAGTGTACGACTTTCTCTGAGGCCTGGGATTTTGGAAAACCGCAGCAGAAACTCTGACTGTATGTCAAGGTCGCTGGTGAAACACTGCTGGGTTTACAAGCAGGTCTGTTTGCACTAAACCTGCAGAGGCATGTTTTCATGCTCAGGTTACAGCACCATGGATAGCTCCAGTGTTGTTGTGGCCTCAACAAAATCCAAATGTTGGCCAAATGAAAAAATCATTTATTTAATTTTTAACATGATTCTGCTCTGTTTTTGCATCCCATAACACCAACACGTTTCCCCTCTTGCGTTCCCTGGCAGTGTCCGTGACCAAGGTTATTCTTTAATGCCTCCACGTGTTTGAACTCAGAGCTCGTGTCCTCTGCACTCGCACTGCCCACAATCGAGAGGCCCAGCTTCAAACGATATCAGTAGGTCACTCGCAACACAGGGAAAGTTTTATGACTTGCAGGGAACGAGCCGCTGTGACAACACCCAGGAATGAGCTGATAGTGCTGCCTGTGAGGAGAGGCAGCGGCTGACATTTCCAAAGTTCAACAGCCACTCTCTGCTTGGTATTTGTGCAGAGCCAGGCTCGACAAAGAATACAAGCTGTACCTACAAAACAAGGAACCATGTGTGAGCGTGCACGCACACACACACACGCGCATGCCAGACAATTTTTTTTTTTTTTTACCCCAAAAGAGCTTGATCTACCTAGAATCTACAGCCATCGTCTCAGAGTAACAACTTCTCAGAGGATGTGAACGGCTCGTTAGGCTGGTTCTTCTGTCAGACTTGTCATTTTTCTTTCTTTCCAAGCAGTTTTTCCTTTATTGTAAGACTGCTGCTCATGCACAGTGACGTCATTCTAAAACTGAAATAAACCAGTTCAATTATAAATAACTGAAATCTGAAGAATCTGGTCAAACGACATGAACACATTATAGATTATTAATAACAAACTTCATAGCAGGTCTGAACCAGGGTACAAGTACATGAGGTACTGTAGGCTCTACAGCATGCACAGCTCCCTTTATCTTTCATAAGACTTCCAGATCATTGGTGGAAACTACAGAAAGTCATTTTGACATTATCTTCATGTTTCATTCATTCACAAGGCCATATTAAATTGATCTGGGCTTCTCTACCATCACATCTCACATTATTCAAAGCCCTGGTCATACACTGATGAAAATGTGGACTGCAGCGTCCATTAATGACTGTTTGATGGATTTAAGTTTTACTCTTCTTCAAACGTGACGATGCTCCAATCTCATGGCACACCGAATAAAACAAACAAACAGCACTGCTGTAGAACTGAACCATGTCTGACTGAAAAACACATTCTTAAATCAGCTCCTTGGTCTGCGATTCATTTTCAGCAGTTCAGGCGAAAGTGAGTCACGGCAGAAATATTAAAGGTAAAAAAAAAAAAAAAGGAAAGGAAGAAATCCTGAAATGTATTATATTTCAGTTCAAAGTTTACAGAGACCTGGGACACAGAGAAAACAGAACAATAACAAACTTTTATGCCACTTCAGCTCAAAGGACGTCTCCATTGGTTATTGGACAGTAACACAGTTGGACTGCAGATATTTCTGACAACAGATTTGAGGAAGAAAGTGTCTGCTGTAGCTTAGTGTGCAGAAGGTTCAAACACAAGGAGGAGCATTGGTTATCTTGGTGCTGATTCCAAGTCTGGATGAATGAGGAGGAAGGTCATTTTGTGCCAATATCACTTCTACCTGCTACAGTGACTTCTCCTGAAATGGAGGTAAATCAGGAAACAGAACCATCACGGAGTGAGAGGATGCTTCAGCACCATGGACAGCGCCAATGCTTAATCAAACATTCAAGGATGTAAGAGATTATACGACTGAGATCAAAGATGATCCAGTCTGCTTGACTACATTTTCAGGTCTCTGTACTGCCACTGGGAAGACAGATATGGTGAAGGTGGGCGCAGGTTATAACAAGGACAAAACAAGAACTGCACCCCCCAGTGTAAGCCACCCACCGTTCACAGTTATTTGTGTAGCAAACAGGCGCGACTCCTCCTCTGAGAACAAAAAGCACAACTGCGCGTCCCTTCTATGATACAGACACAAGGTTTCCCTTTTCCCTCCGTTTCTGAAGAAAATCCTCCGTGTTATTTCACCCCCGAAGATCAATGGCACACCAGGAATTCTGTGCTGCCGGCAGTCACTGCCTGGAGAGGAAGTTTCCACCAAGCTCCCCGAGAATCACAGGAAATTGTTCAAGGCTTCACGCTGTCCCCCTCAAACTGCAATGCCTTTCCTTTGTTACTTCTCCTATTACTGCAAACAGCGCCTGCACAGACTCGCAATAAAAGTTGGTGATTGTGTTCTGAGATATTGGCTATTTATTCTTGTAAAAGTTTCTTCTCTTGAAAAAACACGACGAGGACGGACGCTGATCAGGCTTGAACTTCTCCAATTACGAACATTCTTTTTGACTCGAGGAAGAGGCGGAAAACATTTCCATGGAAACATTTGGTTAGTTTTTGTTTTTTAAACAACAACTTTGTTGCTTTAAGGCACAAGAGCTGATCTGATGTTATATCCAGATCTAATAAATTATAAATCACATATATGTGGAGCAGACATGGCCCTCTGACAGACATTGAATATTTTACAGAATAAATCTGAAAATCTTCACCAAGGACCAATATTCCATCCATCTGTTTCTACAAAATGAAAACATCTAAATATGAGCTTCAACGATTGAGCTAAAAAGTGAAGTAAAATAAAGGGTGAACAGTTAATCAACAAGAACATGATCCTAATCATGTACTGGTCACTGTGTTTGACCCTGTGTTGACTGTGTACAGATCAACCCTCTAGTGGTGAGTTTAAGAATAAACAGATGTCACAACCTGTGTATTTCTTTTGATAGTTATCTGGTTACAAAAAGACACCGACTGCATGCTGTTCTGTCCATTCTCACAGATGCATCAGTGATGTGTGTGTGTGTAAGTGTGTGGGGGGTGAAATCATTTTTTGTTGCCGTGCCACAGCGGGGGAACAAATTGGCAGGTTTACTCTGCGACTCTTATCCACCACTGCTATTACCTCTATGGTCATAAAACACGCTCTGCATTTGAATTTAACATTCCTTCCTCTACAGCTGGGGCCATTCCATTTCCACACACAATATTCCGGTGTGGAGCCAAAACGACACACACGCCTGTGATATTTATTTTCTCTCTGTGTTTGAAACCGGAGACGGCGGTCGAATAGCATAAAGGGAATGGTGTTTTCAAAGCGGCAAAAAAAAAAAAAAAAAATGAATGTAGAAAACATTAGTCGGTAATAGGCAGAGAAGACATTATTACATAAAGCTGGCGTGACTCTGCCCTCAGCCTCTGAGCCAGAAAACTGCCACCATGTCAAACCAGTTGAGGTTTGAACAGATGGTGGGGAAACCATTAAGCAGGACTGGAACAATGAGGTGAATCACACAGGGGTACAGAAAGGAGGAGGAGGAGGAGGAAGAGGAGGAGGAGGTGAAGCTTTTAAAACCCCTCTGTTCTCTCCTGCTGTCCGGCCTCACAGACCTGTCATCATGATCATGATCTAATATTATTGTTCCAAAGGCAGTTTGTGTGTACGAACACCAAAGAAAAGTGGGTTTAATGGAGTGTATGAATTTCTATTTTCTTTGTAGGAGCTCCAGAAACCTACAGTTGAATTGTAGGTGATTTCATGTGTGGTTGCAC